GTTGATTAAACATATTAAGAAATTTTCCATCCAATGGTAGTAAAAGAATATTTTAAAAAAATCAACTCATATTTGTTATAAATAACTAACTTAATTAACTTTCTTAATATATCCAAGTTAAATAACTTTTATATTAAAAACCGGGGTAGTAATTTTTTTTTTTTGCCAACATCTTACGTAATAATATCTACTCTCTCTGTCCATATATATATATGTAGATTGTGCTTACCAAGTCTTACAATAATAAAGTTACGTCATTAATTATGATTCATGCATAAACATACATCCATTTGCAGCTTACGAATTCATTTTTACTGCCTCTTATGCAAATCCAATCCTTAAGATAATCGTTTCTTCCATTATTGTTTTCTTTCGAGCTCTTCAACAATTTTTCATTACCATACGCAGGCGTTTATTGCCCAATTAATAAAAGTCAACGAAGTTGGAATAATAATAACAATAATAATTGTACATTTTATTCTAACACCACCCTTTTCACTGCCGTCTATATCTATATATATATATATATGTATATGTATATGTATATATATCTCAAGCACCATTAAACCTTCCTTCCACTATATATCCTCTCATTTTCTTTCCCTTCTTCATCTTCATTCTCACAACTAAACATGCTTCGACCTTCTTGTCTTCTTCCCTTACTTACGCTCACATTCTGGTCATGCTCCACTCTTAACGGCGTCGTTTCAGATCCACAGACCAACCTTCTTAAGATCCAGTGCAACCCATTCAACGACTTCTTCGTTACCAACATCTCCATCTACCATGACAACCTAAACGCAACGTTTCAAGCCATCAGAGAGCATATCAGTGACCAAAACAAGCACTTCGCCACTGCACAACATCAACGCCATGGAGAAAACCCCATTATCACTCTTTTTCAGTGCAGAAACTACCTTACCATCCCCGACTGTGTCGTGTGCTTCGATGCCGCCGCCATACGAATCCGTAGCTGCGTCGCCGCCGTAGCCCCTGGTGCCCATGTCGTCTACGACGGCTGCTTCCTCAGGTACTACACTAGCTACTCTCTCCAGTCAGGTTTCTTTCTTCTTTGGGCCATATGTTACGACACTACAACATCAGTTTGTGCTGTTTAATGTTAAATTTGGTTATCAGAAAAATTAATCTTTCAGTTCCTATATATGATCTGCACTTTTTATTCAATGGGTCCAGTACTAAAAATTTATAGATCCGTTGTTCCTTTATGTGTTGCACAGACTATTAAAAATTCTGGCTCGTCAATTAATTCAGTCAGGTCAGGTGAGGTACGTACTAGTCCTCCCCTAGTTTGAAGGTCAATGATCAGAGATGGTAGTCGAATTATGATCAGATTCAGATCTATCATGACTAAATATATATTGAATATATCCTAATTATTTCTTAAAAAAATGAAAGACAAAAATGATAAAAAAAATTTATAGAAAAATTAGTTTGAAAAATACAACAGCAAAGGTAATTAAAGATTTAAGACAAGTAAAAATACAATTTAATAAAATTTACAAATGTCTTGTAGTTTCAAAAATGAAAAAAAAAAGATAATTATGAGATGTAATATTTCTTTAAGGCTAAAGTATATATTTGATCCTTTAACTTTGTACAAGGTTTTAATTTGGTCCATTAACTTTAAAAAGTGTGCATTTGGTCCTTTAACCCTAACATCATTAGGCTTCAATGATATTTTTTTATAACAATCATGGATTTTTTGAAAATTAAACTTAATATGTTAGTATTTGAGAATGTTTTATCAACATTTAAGATCTTAATATCATCATTTTTAAAAAAAAATTTATGGTTAAAGGACTAAAAGTATACTTTTTAAAATTAACAGACCGAATTGCAATCTTGTACAAAGTTAAAGGACCAAATATATATTTTAATATTTCTTTAATATATATTCTTGTTTTAAATTTATAGTTTTAATGTATAATAATATATACAAACACATATTTCTTGAATATTTTATCATTACTCTTTTTTCAACCTTATATTGTGATTTAAAATTTTCGAATAAAAAAAAAAAGAGTGGATCAATTTAAATTACGGTTGCACGACACAGACCAAACCAAAACCCAACCTGAAGTTTGGTTTGATTTTTTATCAAACTAGGTTTGGCAATCCATAGTCTAGTTCAATTTAATAGTAACCCAAAGTCGGGTTGACTGAACTTGGTCCATGAAATAGGTGGATTGGTCCTGTCTGAGACCTTAATTTTTTTTCTTAATGGGAAGCAAGATTACCACGTGATAAATACAATTAATACAATAAAAAATATCTATAATCATATAAAACATATCCTAAAATATTAAAACTTAATCATGAATAGATAAAAACCTAAAAGGTAACATATAAATTACCAATTATTAAAAACAAATTCACCAAACCATGTAAATAGTCTAATCACTTGGTTTCGAACTCAATCCAATCTGAACAACTAGTCTGATCCAATTTCATTGTATAGCTTATTTGGACAGAATTTGATTGGACCAGACCATCTCGGATTGATCGGACAAAACTGCTGGGTTTTTGCATACCCCTGATTCCAATGGTTCCCTATTTTATTGTCGATTGTTAAGTACTAGCACTGGTTCTATCTAATTCCCAATCTACCCCCAACTATGAACCGGATACTAGTTGGGTTTCCGATTTAGCCAGGTGAACCAACCGGTTCTCCTTTTGGAATCGTTGGTCGTTAACAGTCTTTTTAGGCTAACTAATCTTTCTTTTTTTTTTTTTTTTTTTTGCGCGCCAATGGCGGTTAACATTGTTCCCCGCAATATTGTAAACGTAATTACTGATCCCTAAAATCATCTACGTGGCGATTGAACAGTGTTAACTAGGGCTGTTATTGCCGGGGGGGGGGGGAAGCTGATGTGATGCTTAACTGGGAGCCAATTGCACACTGCGACATAAGATACAATAAAACCATGATTTGAAATTATAGGGATCAAAATTAAAATTCAATAAAAAGTTATAGTATTAACCCAAAAATGAATATGTAAACAATCCATTTAAACTTTAAAAAAAACGCATTAGTTGAAATAAAACAAGTTGAAGCAGGATCAGTTCCTTTACCATTCTCGGCCACTTTCAGTCTACTATTTAATTTTAATTTATAATAAACCGATCAATTAATTTCCAAACACACACACACATCAGAATAATCCAAATTTAAAAATTCGTCCTCTCTCATCATATGCTTGATTTATACACAACAAGTCCATATATTGTACTTGGAAAATGATACGAGATACTTTGTGGTGTTTAAAGGTACAACTCCAATGGTTTCTTTGACGAGACGACGCAGCCTTTCAATTTCGTATCGTGTGGGAATCAGACTACGGGAGATCAAGCCATTACCATAACAGTGCGACAAGTGCTAATGAATCTCCAAATAACAACACCTCGGATGCCTAGTTTCTTTGCAGCCACGAAGATTAATGTTCCAAATGATAATAATGGTGCAAATATTTATGCGTTTGCTCAATGTGTTGAGACTATCACTACCGATGGTTGCCTTGATTGCTTGAGGGGTCGGTTCAATAGTATGGAGATTTGTCTTCCCTTTTCAGATGGCAAGGCTTTTGATGCTGGTTGTTTCTTGAGATACTCCACCACGTCCTTCTTTAATGATACCCACACAATTGATATCACACCCATCATCAAACAAGGTACCTACAAATCATTCAAAGATTTGAATATATATGGGTTAATACCATCTTTGATCAATCAAGTTTGCACAAATTTTGGTTTTGTTCCCTAAAGTTTCAGACCAGGCATGGGTTTGGATCCCTTGATTGGCAAAATGGTTTAACTTTTTATTAAATTATAAGGACTAATATTTTAGACAGAAGGAAATTTAAGAGATCAAAACCTATAGTTTGACACCCGAGGGATCAAAACCAAAATGAAAACAAACTTGAGAGATAAAAAATGTATTAACCCCTATATATGTAGCCCCTTTTAATTTGTCTTGGATTCATGCACTTAGCTTGATATACGATCCCCATAGATAAATATATAGTTTGGTTTTTTTTAATTTGCGATTCAAAATGAGTGACTAGTTTGAAAATGAATTACTGTTGTTTAATTTCCTATATATACCGTAGGATCAAGCAAAAAGGGGGTTACAATTGGAGGGGTTGTCTCTTGTGTTAATCCTCGTTGCACTGTTTGCCTGGACTAGACGACCAAGAAGGAATAAGAGGGTTCCTAGAGGTATATCAGATTTAAATTATTTAATGCGATGTTTTGTTTTTCATATCTATGATTATGAAGGATGAATAGTACTTGGGTATGATTCTCTTACAAGAGGATATATATATATATATATATAGAGAGAGAGAGAGAGAGAGGGTCTAGTTGTAGCATATTTTCAAATCACAAACTTACATATGGAAGAAGAATCTTCCAAGGTCAAGGTCAAGGTCAGACCCAGAGGCAAGTAGCTAGATGAATCTCGTAATTTACTGACATGTAAAATAATCTAACAAGCGTGGATAAACTCAATTAATAAATAAGGTCAAAATCGTAGATTTGTTGCACTTCGGACTTGGATCTCCCATCTCAGTTTTATTCAATTCCCTCTTGATTTTCCTTGAAATAAGGTCAATTAGCATTCTAATGAAAGGAAAATCACCCTCGTGGGGTGGATCAAATCCCTAACAAGTTTTATTACTTTATGAAGTGACTTTGACTTGCATTTTCCTAAACAGGAGACATGACTGGAGCAAGCAAGTTGAAAGGTCTAGCTACTTATAATTATAATGATTTGGTATATGCAACCAAGAATTTCAGTGAAGAGTACAAACTAGGAGAAGGAGGATTTGGGGCTTTATACATGGTAATTTTAATCTAATATCCAATATTTAAATATTTATGATCATGCTCTTTAGCAAGTATGTCTCTAAAAATACATTTCCAAAAGGACAAACGTGGTACTCATAACAATTGAAATTCTTTAATTATCATCACAAGGCACTATGAAGAATGGGAAAGTTGTCGCAATCAAGAAATTAACTTTACAACAATCCAGGAACTTGGAAGAGGATTTTGAAAGTGAAGTGATGCTTATAAGTAATGTTCATCATCGGAATCTTGTTCGGCTTTTGGGATATTGTAGCGAAGGCCATGATAGAATCCTTATTTATGAATATATGAAAAACAGCAGCCTTGACAAATTCCTGTTCGGTATCTTCTATCAACCAACAGCTTTTATGAATTTGCATAATCTATTATTTTTCTTTTTAACATAATGACATGAGTGCACATTTTCAAATCAACAACACAGCAACACCGACTTATCAAAGAAAAGCCTAATCATATGTCATACTTATGTTGGAGAACATGATAATAAGCTTTCCATATCAATTCCCTAATCATTTTTAAGGTTTGCCCTTGATATTTTTCTTACCTTTCAAAGTCTGTACACTTGGAAAATAGGTAGAAACAAAGGTTCTCTCCAGTGGAAGCAGAGATATGATGTAATTTTAGGAATAGCAAGAGGTTTGGCTTATCTACATGAGGAATTTCATGTGCGTATTATACATAGAGATATAAAGACTAACAACATCCTCTTAGATGATGAACTACAACCTAAAATTGCTGATTTTGGATTAGCAAAGCTTTTACCTCAAGACAAATCCCATCTAAACACAAGAGTCGCAGGAACATTGTAAGTTCGAAGAATTATATTTAATTTCTTTTCCTCTATTATAGCACATGGATTGTATGAGGTATTGATAATATATATGTTAGTACACCCACAAACACTCACACACAGGTCAATTGAACACTATCTTCTACACCTATAATACTCAATAGAATTCATATATATATATATATAATGTCAATCATGGCACAAAAATTTACATTACATATGCCTGTTTCAGACTTTATTGGATCTATAATTATATGTACCGTGTATATGTATGTGTTTAATTTCTATTGGAGTCATTGTTTCAATCTAATTACATCACAAATATTCTATTTGTTAGAGGATATACAGCACCGGAGTATGCAATTCATGGCCAATTATTAGAAAAGGCTGATGTTTATAGTTATGGTGTTGTTATCTTAGAAGTTATCAGTGGTCAGAAAAGCACGGAATTAAGGCTTGATAATAATGATGAGGGTGCATTCCTGCTTCAAAAGGTGAGAAAATTCCCATTATTATTGCAGTTCCTCGTGTTTATCTTTGAGAAGATTTAGATATGGGGATGTATTTTCAATAATAAAGCTCTAGGTTATTTAGCTGTCTTCGGAAAATCCATTCCTCCAATGCCAATATACAATGAATCTGAGAAATATCTAAGAAGACACTGCCGTAAATATGTTCATTTGTCTCTTGTATCCCTCCTTTTCACTTCCCTATTGTCTAATTTGATAGGCTTGGAAACTTTATGAGATAGACAGGCACTTGGAATTGGTGGACAATACCTTAGATCCTAATGCCTATGATGCAGAAGAAGTGAAGAGAATCATAGAGATTGGTTTGCTTTGCATCCAAGCATCTGCTGATAGGAGACCAATAATGCCTGAAATAGTTGTTTTGCTCCAAAACAAGGACTTATTAGAGAACATAACGCCCACTATGCCAATCTTGATTGAAGCTAATTAGTGGTCCCTGGCTTGTCCTCTAATTGCACGGAAATAACCACTTGTGGGTTATTTTAGAATTTTCTATCATAAAAATAAATAGAAAAAGCAATTGAGTATATGCAACTGTACATCTTTAATTTCCATTTTATTCGATACTTGTGTGTAATTTTGTAGATTCGTCTTAGAAATTATATGTGAATAAATGGTTACGGGATACAATTTGGAAAGCTACATTAATTTTGTTAAAATCTTAGATGTGAGATCAAGAATTCAGTTCTATTATTTAATTGATGAAGTTAATATTTGTACATAATGTGACTTTTTTAAAGTGATGTCATGCATGATATTTTTTTTCGCCATCCATATTCCATACACATGATATACTATTTTAATGGAGATACTCCCTCCTGTCCTATTTATAAGTTTCAAATAACTGAATCACGTTTAATGAACTAGCAGTTAAAATTATTTAAAATAATAAATATGTCAGAAATGTATCATTGTTTTTTCAAATTTGCGCGTATTTATTAAGAGAGTCAATGTGAGTCAATAAATGAAAAAAATAATGAAAGAGAATATATAGGAGTAATATTAATGAGAGAGAGTACTAAATAGAGTCAACTAAAACAAAATAGGAAGAAAAGTAATAAATACTCAAACAAGCTTAAAAATTAAATTTATATTTTAGACCAAATCTATGTCCATAAATAAAACTTATATATAGTGTCGGAGGGAGTAATATTAAAAGCCGCCCAAAATAAAATATTAATAGTAAATATACAAATCACATTATTTCATGCATGATATATGATTTTAATGGAGACAAAATTGAGAATTTAAAAAGGCAAAATTAATTTGAGATTGGTGGCTGCCCAACTACTCACAAGTCACAGGTTGGGTCCTATCTAGATGCATGATCCCCCCACTCCCCATGATGTGAAACGAGGGGAAAGAGAGGAGAAAGAAAGAGAGAGGATCCTAAAAATATAGTAGAATATTTTATTCAATCAACTAAGTCGGCCTATAATGAGGAATTTTATTGCTATTTATAAAGTTCTTAAAATATTTAAAAAATAATTGTTCAAAAAAAGAAAAAATAAAATAATAATAATTCAATCCTTAATCTAGTTTTAAAATATATAGATAATAAATAAATAAAATCTTATAATAATACAAATAATTAAGACATTCTATTTTATTGATATTATGCAAAAATTCGAAGAAAAATAAAAACACAATTATCTAAGAAAATTTTAGGGTTAGGAAAGTTGTAATAAATAATCACTATGGTGCCTTGTTTTCGGTGAATAACATGATGCCTTTTAAAAAGACCAAAAAATACAAAATTATAAATGAATTAATATTTTTTACCTAAAAGAGTAAAACAATATCCAACGCCATGATATTATTTTCTAACTGTATTCAACATCCTAATCTTATTTTCAACTTCTAGCACTCTAATATTATTTATAATGCATCTAGCATCCTAAAATATAAATAAGATTAATGTGTTAGATATAGTTGAAAAATAACATTTAGAGCGCTAGTTGAATTAAAAAAATAATATTAAAATATTGTATTTTTTTAACCACCGAATACCACCATATGGTGAATGCCCTACCTAAAATTCCTTATGTCAAACGTAAATCAAACGTAATTCTCTTCTATTAAACACAAGTAATTAATAATGGATATAAAGACAGGGAAAGTTGCAAAAATTTTAGGATCTTAATTACCTAATTGTCTCTCTTAAGGTTCGTGTGTTAGGTAAAAATGTCTGACGTTTAAAACAGAGGTAGTATATTTGACTTGTTTTTTTGTATGAGTACATTATTTGTTTTTTATTGTTGTAATTATTTTTTTAAAAAATTTCCTTCTTCGAAGAGCACGGGTTGATTTTAGTTATGATCACAATTCATTTCATTGTGACAATTTAATCACTTGCAAACTCCACAACATATCTTGCCATGGCAAAAAAAAAGAACCAAAAAAAAAAAATCCCATCACTAAATTCGCGGCACACGCTTTGGAAACAGCTTGTATGCTCAAAGGCGTCATGTTTACAGATAAGTTCGATATGATTCTCATACCCAAAATTTATTTGGCCAATTCATACCCAACTTAATAAATATTATATGAATTAAATTCTAAAAGTCAACTCTCTAAATAAATTAACTGAAATTAAATTAAATGCCATCAAAATCCCATCATTACCTACATGATTATCTGGCCCTCTATGTCAAGATGCCTTATTTCTCTCTCTCTATTTATAGAGAATATATATGTGTGCGTGGATGGGCTTTTTTTCTTTTCTTTAGCCATCATCATCATCAAATTTGGATTCTTTTAAATTATAAATATCTAGATCTTATGGGTGGTTTCACACACACACACACACACCCGATATATATTAAAACCTAATTAGGTCCGTCTTCTTCATCCTTTGGCTTCCTTCTTCATCTTCAGACATGAATCATTAGCTCTCTCCACAATACAAAGCCAACCCTACACATACACCTATTCCGATCCAATCTCAGCAAGCAAATTCTAATTTCTTTCATCAAATTACCTTCACATTTTGGTGGGGTCGGATCCTTAGTGGCATCGTTTCGACAGGTTTATGAAGAGATTTTTTTTTGTGGGTTTTTTTTTTGCAGGGCAGCATGGTTCTTTTTGCTCCATTTTGCAGAGGGGCGAATTTTTGAAATGGATTTGCATAATCGTATTCGGCTTCTAAATTACAATATGGGAGGTTCAATTCTAAGATGGGATTTTGAATCTCTACTGCTACGAGAGTTTTGTACATTCTCTTCCCAATTATGTCATTGGTTTCTCTTTTATTTTTTCTTCTTCTTAAGTTCTTGTAAAATGTTATTTTTGAGAGCATGGATGCACCAAAAGTTGTAGTAGACATTTAGAAGACATGAGCCGCACAGTATACATAGGATTTATACGTGATTTGTTTAAGTTTTTTTTAAAAAATATATATATATACACGCAAATTATATTTTTTCATAAAGTAAAATGTTGTTTTAAATTTTAAAAATAAATAATAGTTTGCTTTATGATAATAAAATTAATATGTTTAAGTATTAATTATAATCTTTAAGAAAATGAGAAACTTAATCTGTCAGTCCCTGTATAGTTTTACCTAATTTTCAATTAGGTTCCCATATTTTTTCTTTTTATTACATATTTACACTTTCCTCAATTATATTTTTCTTCCTACGCTCATAATCTGTTCATCATAGTTGATATGGATGATTAAATGAAATATAGTACAGTACAACCCCATGTTTTTAACATAAGAACTAGATAATTAATTTGCGAATATTAAAAAATTACTAGTTACATAAGTTATTTATAATAAATGTGTGCTGTCTTCCAAAATATCCTTGTTCATTATTTGGATTAAAATGAAAATCTTTTAACATGTGTAATCATCATGAAGACTACTTTGAGAAAAAAATAATAAGTAAATATAGAAAACAAAGTAGATTGAGGTATTAGATATTAAGTGAGAGTTATCTTATCAGTTATTAATACTGTTTTCCTTACAAATTAATAAATTATGACTATTGGAATCAATGCTTATAATTGATAAAACTATAGGGAGATCAATAAATAAGACAAGATTATAGAGACTTGCATATGATTATTTAATTTGTGCCAATAAAATTCAAGGAAAGACTTATAAAATAAAAGGTTTTCAACTGTACGTCAACATCGATAGTAAACGACACTTAAAATGAAATTCAAATGTATTTTCTTCACTAAGGTAAAACTGAATAAGAGGGAAAACACATTGAGAAGTGGACATAATTTTATAATGCTGAAGCTAATAGTGAAACCAAAAAAAACTTTGTTACTATATTTGAAGTAGTAAATAATAATAATAAAAATCTTAATGAACACCATGCCACTAAAATCAAAATTAAAAAAATTAAAAAAAAGACTAACACTTGGCATTTCCATCTCTACCAATATAGTCATATACTATATTGGTCATATCACATATCACGTTTATTTTTAAAAAATGGAAACGCGCTCCTTTATATATACACACACCTAACTAACTTGACCTAAGTTTGCTCCTATATATGTACACACACACTTTCATTCTAAAACACCATGATCCTTCTTTCGTTATTCTCCACATTATTCCCCATACAGGCCAAATCTTCATTCCATTATTTGATTTTCTTCTTCTCCATCTTCTTCTCTCAACTGAACATGCTTCGACCTCCTAATCTCCTTCCATTATTATTTATCTTCGTATTCTGGTCAAGCTGGAGTCTTAACAGCGTCGTTTCAGACCCACAGACCAATCTTCTTAAGATCCGGTGTACCCCATATGACAGGTTCGTGGTTAGCGACATCTCCGTCTTCAATGAAAATCTAAACGTAACCTTCAGAGACATCAGACGGCAGCTTAGCGACCAAAACAAGCACTTCGCCACCGCGGCGAAGGAGGCCAATGGAGAAGGCCCCGTTTACACTATTTTTCAATGCAGAAACTATCTGTCCATCGCCGACTGTGTCTCCTGCTTCGACGTCGTTGCCGTTCAAATCCGCAGCTGCACCGCCGCCTTGGCCTCGGCTGCCCTTGCCGTCCTCGATGGTTGCTTCCTCAGGTACAACTTGTTGCCATCAATGTTTGACTTTTTCATTAGCATATAGCGTTGAGATATCAGATAAGATATAATTGCGACATTTTTTTGGTTTGGGTCAGCTATTGCGATGCAATTTATACGTATACGCGTGTGTGTATATATATATTTATATATATCAGTTATCGATGCGTGTTTTCTTAATTGATTATTTAATGAGCAGAGAGACGGAGAGCCGAAACTTTGGATTATTCGGGCTTGGGAAAAAAAAAAACTCTTTTGGTCTTATTTATAAGTCGCTTCTACCATATTTTATACAAACAAAGAAACTTTAAACTTTATTAACTCTTATTTAAAATTCAATAACTTTTCAACTTTATCCTAATTTAATATATATATAATATCTTATATAAACAAAGTTAACACAATAATAAATGAAGGTAAAATTGTATATCCATACACAAAATTTCTCTCAATATCCTATAAATAGGACCAAAAAGTGTTTTCTTTTCCTATCCTATAAATAAGACCAGAGGAGTGCTCCAATGGTACTATCTATAGGAAATAGAGAATTTTTTTTTTGTCCTTAGGATAAGTTATTTTGATAAATTTATTATATGAACATGTAATTTCACCTCTAGTTTAATGTTCTGTACATAATTACTTTGCTAAGAATCATATATATTAAATAAAGATAAAGTTGAAACATTTTTTTTAAATTTTAAAATAGAATTAATAAATTAAAGGTTAAGAAAAATCATTGATTTTGGTAATATATGTTGAATTTATAAATAAGAGATAAGGAGTAAGCTTTTACACCTTCAACGCTCATACTGGCTCTTTAATTTAATGCTTGTCTAATTTTAACTTTCCTCCAAATGTTTTGTTTATTAGTTTTCATTTACTACTCCCTCAAGTTTATCTTAAGTTTCAATTTGATGTTCTAATTGTATTTGGTTTGAATATATATAGTCCCTTAACATTATCATAAAACCGCATTTTAGCGGAAAATTTTTCCCTAAAGAGCATGCACCCAACCATAAATATAATCATATATAAGTTAAACTATACTATAAGGGGCCTTAATTTTATATAAGGCCTTAATTTGGTCTCTTAACTTTAAAAGTATATTTTTAGTTCTTTAACACTAAAATCATTAACCAAAAAAATGATATTAAGATATTGAATGCACATTCTTATATGCTAATTGCTGACATATTAAGTTTAATTTTAAAAACAAACACAATTATTACAAATATCTATCTTTTAAGACTAACAATTTTGAAAGTGCGAAAGATATTTTGAAACTTATATATATATATATTCATCCTCTCATCAACTTTATTTATACACAACGAAATGCTTATTGCACTTGGAAAATGATAAGGGATACTTTACATATGGTGTGTTGAGGTACAACTCCAATGGTTTCTTTGATGAGACCCCGCAGCCTTTCAACATCGTATCATGTGGGAATCAGACTACAGAAGAAGCAGCAACATTTAACACAACAGTGCGACAAGTTCTAATGAATCTCCAAACAGCAACACCTAGAATCCCTAATTTCTCTGCGGCCACGAAGATTCATGTCCCTAATAATAATTATAATGGCGCCACTATTTATGCTTTTGCTCAGTGTGTCGATACCGCCACAATAAACCAGTGCCTTAATTGCTTGAAGGTTGATTACAGTAGCTTGGAGATTTGTCTTCCAAATTCGGATGGTATGGCTTTTGATTATGGTTGTTTCATGAGATACTCAACCACTGCCTTTTTCCCAGATAACCAGACCATTGATATCATACCCTTGGTCAAACAAGGTACATTATTCATTCAAATATTTACATATAATCGCTTGTTGTATCGGATGCATATATATAATTACACACGCGCACACGCACACACCCAGTTACCTTGCTGCCATGATAGTAGGGTTTGCGCAAGTTAAATTTTGGTGGCAAAAGTGTATCTTTAGTTTTTTTTAAAAAAAAGAATTATACCCAAGATTTTATTTTAATCCCTTTATTCATAATGAGCTGAGTGACTAATTTGAAAATGAATTGTTTGTCCTTGTGACTTGTAGGTTCCAGCAATAAGGGGCCTACTATTGGTGGAGTAGTTGGTGGTATAGCTTTTGTTTTGATACTCCTTGGATTGTTTGCCTCGATTAGACGACCTAAAAAGAATAAGAGAACTCCTAGAGGTAAAACAACTTAAAAGTCTTCAAATACTGGGTTTATCAGTTTGTAACTATTTCAGGTCATGTTTTTCTTTGCATTTTCCTCACCAGAAGACATAATTGGAGCAAGCAAATTAAAAGGCCCAATTACTTACCGTTCTAGGGATTTGATGTCTGCGACCAACAATTATAGTGAAGAAAATAAACTAGGAGAGGGTGGATTCGGGGTTGTGCACAAGGTAATTTTGATTTGATTTTCAGTAATATAGATGATGTGTTAAAAGCAGGGATGTCTCCAAATGAACTAAGGTGGAATTTCTTATTGATAAAGCTATCATGATTAAATTGCTTATCATCACTAATAGGGAACTTTGAAGAATGGGAAAGTTGTTGCAGTCAAGAAATTGACCTTAAACCACTCCAAGAGAATGGAGGAAGATTTTGAGAGTGAAGTGAAACTTATTAGTAACGTTCATCATCGAAATCTTGTTCGACTCCTGGGATATTGTAGTAAAGGGAATGACAGAATTCTTGTTTATGAATACATGAAAAATAGCAGCCTTGATAGATTCTTGTTTGGTATGTAATACTAACAGACCAATCTCTTATGCAATGTTTTGAGCATGAGCTATTATGCATGTGGGCATATTTCCAACTCAATATTTCACCGTTCATTTGAAAATCAGGTGAAAGGACAGGTTTTCTCAACTGGAAGCAGCGATATGATATAATTTTAGGAGTTGCAAGAGGTTTGGCATATTTGCATGAGGAGTTTCATGTTCGAATTATACATAGAGACATAAAGACTAACAACATCCTCTTAGATGATAATCTACAACCAAAAATTGCAGATTTTGGATTGGCAAGACTCTTACCAAATGACGAATCTCATCTTAACACAAAGATTGTTGGAACATTGTAAGTTAAAATATCCACATATGTTTAATCTTCTTTAGAGCTGTGACAAACAAGAATTGTCCGAAGTAATGTCTATTTTGGAGGTGGGACGTGTATAAGTCAGTAGAAGACTTATCAGCAGCCATTAGCTTGAATACTTCAAAGAGTTCATATCTATTTTCAAGCATGTCATAGTAATAATTCAAATTACACGTTATTTCATTTTTTTTTATTGGATCATAAGGTGTATCCTGGATGAGCCATTATTGTGATAAGCAACACCATAATTATTGTAAATTTTTCAGGGGATATACAGCGCCAGAGTATGCTATTCATGGCCAACTATCAGAAAAAGCTGATATTTATAGTTATGGCGTTGTCGTCTTAGAAATCATCAGTGGTCAGAAGTGTAAAGAATTAAGGCTCCACGGTGATGATGAAGGCGCATTCCTCGTTCAAACAGTAACAATATTCCCCGACTATTTAATATGACCTATTTATTTTGATAATATTTATTTGGGAAAGCAATTCATTCTTTGCCATGGAATCTGCTTTGTTTTTTGGGTATCCATCTAACATTAACTTCTCTTTTGTTTTATTTGATAGGCGTGGAAGCTTTATGAGAAGGATAAACACTTAGAATTAGTGGATAAGAATTTAGAGCCCAATGACTATTATGCTGAAGAAGTAAAGAAAATCATAGAGATCGGTTTGCTTTGCATTCAAGCATCTGCCAATGCAAGGCCAATGATGTCTGAAGTAGTTGCATTGCTTCAAAACAGGGACTTATTAGAGAACTTGAGACCCACCATGCCTATCTTGATTGAAATTAATTAGAGCTTATCGAAGACGCCTCTACTTGTACAGCTTCCTATAAAATACTTTTTTATTTATTTAGAGTTTTCCCTCCTAATATTCTTTTCTTAATTTTTCTCCGATCCAGGCAAATGGTATCAAGGAAGACGACTGTGTCTAATTAATTAGATATCAGTCTTGGAAACTACAGAGGAACTAAATCCTTTGTAATACCCTAAAAAGGCTTATCAACAATTAAAACAAGTAAAACAGCACAAGTAATTTCAAAGTTTCAATAATTAAGTTTGAAACCAAATGAAGATGAGAGAACACATCTAAAATATTTCTGGAACCATTCCAAAACCCATTTCTCAAACCCATTTTCCATAATTAATAATAAAATTGCAGTTACATGAATGTCATAACAAGGAAAGGACAAAAACTCGTTTTGAGGGTTTAGTATTTTACATTGCATCCCGCTTAGCCCTGTGTCGTGTTAGTTTAATTTATTTCCTTCGTTCTGGATTCTTTAGCCTCTTTTACCCCCCCCCCCCCAAAAAAAGGTATGAATTTTATATATTATTGAATTTCAATTTTTTTGGTTAAAAAAAAGGCCTATATATGCTTTATTCTATCACTGCCTCCGTTGTTTTCAAAATATAGTTAGATTATTATTATGTCAATTATTTTTCAACCTGATCTTTATTTAACACGATCATTCATGAATTATTATTTATTAAGAGGCCAGTTACTTTGATATAATTAATTCATGTTTCGAGAATGTTGGTGGCTTATGATAACTATGCGATTGGAGAAATATGACTTATTTTAAATTACATAGTTTATTTGTTTATATCAGTTTTTGGGTTAGGATAAAATTTTTCCTTGGAACTTTTTACATATGAGCTACTATGGGTAACTAGTAGCTTTGGTTCGAGATCCTACTGCTGCAAATGCGATCTGGCACACTGCTTGGAAACTAATCATTCCTCAAAGATGCAAGTCTTTCTTATGGCTCTTACTTCATAACAAGTTATTAACTAATGTTTTTACCCAAAAAAAGAAGAAAAAACTAATGTTGCATGCCTATGGCGTGGAATTAACGTTAAAGCTAAATGTGTTTGGTGCAACCACAATCCTAAAGACTCACTACATACACTTAGGGACTGTCCGGGGGTTAAATCGATGTGGCTCTCCATCATTAATCCCAGTTATATCGGACAGTTTTTTAGCTCTAACGTTTGGGACTGGTGTTGCGTGAATTTAAAGGAAAAGGCAGGGCAGGTTAATGAACAATGGCGAGTACTCTTTGTCATTGTGCGCTGGCTTCTTGGGAAGCGAAGGAACGAAAAATTGTTTGATGATAAAAGTATCAATGCCCACGCGATCCTAGGCAAAGCAAAAGCGATCCTGACAAGCTTTACGGCAGCAACAATTCAGTTGAAACAGATTAATATTCAGGGAGCTAGAAAACATACTTCCTTGCAACCTACCAAAATGATGGGAGGGGGAGTTACTGTTCTGGTGGATGGAGCCTATTCTCACTTTAATGGCCGAGCCGGTTGTGGAGGAACAATTATAGTGAATGGAGGTACTGTTCTTGAAGCGTTTATGCTGTCTCTCAATGAAGGATATCCCTTAATTGCAGAATTATGGGCGTGTTTGATCGGGCTCAAACGAGCTTGGGAAGGAGGACACAGAAGAGTTTGTCTTTTTAGTGACTCATTGGAGACAATACATCTACTACAGGAGGGAGATAATGAACTCCATGAGAATTGGGCTTTGATTAAAGAATGCAGCAGCATGATCCAAAGCAAATGGCTTGTGGAACTTTGTCATATAGGAAGAGAAGAAAATCTTGAAGCAGACGCACTAGCTAAGCGAGCTCTATCCTTGCCACCAGGATTGCATCTCACTCATCTTGAGGACTCCTCTGATGTTGTTTCTCGTCATTTAGCTTAGTTTCTTTGTTTTCTCCTCTTATAAAAAGAAAAGAAAAGTAGTTTTTGTTCGATTAATATTGTCCCAAAAATGTTAAAAAATGTGCAATGTTACTTGTGTATTAAGATAATGTTAATTTTTTTAATAGTTATGACGATTTTACTCTTTTTTAACATTTATGGGGTGATATTAATCTAATAAAAATTTCTGAATATCCTATGTGTAAACTTCGACGGTAAAACTGGACCTTAAGTCCTTAACCCTTATTTTTTTAACATTTGTTTTCATAATAGTAGTAATAATGATCGTAATTAATCGTGTCTTGTTTTATTAAGAAGCACAACCACAATAATGGGCACGTTAATGCTAAAATAATGCCATAATTTTTTATTTGTTGATTCTAAAAGGGATATGTCATATTGGCCCAAAAAAAAAAAAAAGGGACATGTCATTGGAAGATATTAAAATACAATAATCCTTTTCACTCAAAGTCAAACCTTCCAATTATATACTTATATTAACATTTATGGGGTGATATTAATCTAATAAAAATTTCTGAATATCCTATGTGTAAACTTCTAAGGTAAAATTGGACCCTAAGTCCTTAACCCTTAGTTTTTTTAACATTTGTTTTAATAATAATAGTAATAATGATTGTAATTAATCGTGTCTTATTAAAAAATATCATCCTGTAAAAATTAAAATTATTACAATATTACTTCATGAGTTAGATGCGATCAGGATCCTTCATAATAATTAAAAAAAAAGAATTATATAGAGAGAGTCTTTTCAAGGTCTGCTTCGTTTGGAATTAAAAGAGCAGAACAAAAGCACATGTTGAAGGCTCAAAACTCAAAAGTCAACTCAAAATAAATTAGTTGCAAGTAAAACTTTCTGAGTCCCAAAAATTAAATATCTATATAAATCCCATCAGAACATGATAATTGATAATAAGTATTATTAACGGAGAAAAAGATTAAGAATTTTTTGCCAGAAAGATATATTCATTCCATCAAAGTGAGACAGTGAAATTAATTGGGATGTGTTTGGATTAGCGATGGAAGAAGTCACTTTTTTTCAATCTGACTTTTACAATCTGACTTTTGTAAAAGTGAGATTGGGTAAAAGTTAAGTAGTATGATGGGATTTATGTTTGAATTAATTTTTGTAAAAAAGTCAGTTTGAAAAACTGAAATTTATTTGAATGATTAATGAAAAAGTAAGTTTAGATGTAAAATGATTGAAAAGAATATGAATTTTATTAAGTAATACATATATAGTATTATATGTATATAATGTGACAATTGCAAAAGAAATACTGAAAATAAAATTTTTAAAAATAAAAAAGTTAATTTATTAGGAAGAAATTGAAAAATACTAAAATATTCCTTCCCAATCAAAATATAAAATAAACTTTGTTGGAGGGGCTTTTTATTTATTTATAAGATAACATTCACTTTTGTCTAAATATTTAATGAGTTTTGTTCAATTTTGCCCCACAGATATTCTCTCTTTTTTAATTTATTTATTTATCCCATCTTTTACTTGTTCTCTTCATTAATAAGGGTATATGAGGGGGAAAAATATATGTCTTATACATTTATTATTTTAAATTAATTTTAACTAATTTCTTGATAAACGTAAATGAATAAAGTTTATCTTATTTTCTAAACTGGAGGGAGTACTTGATGAAATATAATTAAAATATGTGCATAGAGTATTAATCAAATTGAATGGTGATGCAGCACCTCTGTCCTTGTTTTTTTGGGGCCACGAATACAGACAAATACGCATGCAGAAAGACAGTAAATAGATAGAGAAAAAATTTAAAATGTAATTAATACTGCCAACGGCTTCTCTCACCGCACTGTCCCATGAAAGCAAACAAAAATGGAGCTTCACTCTAAAAGCTCATTTGGTCTCAAAAGTCAAATTTTAAAAACATAAATTCAAACAGTATTTTAACCCGAAAAGTTACATTTGCTCGTGGAGAAGCTCGTTTGGGCCTCAAACTGTGATCCCAAACACGGTCTTAGAGGGCGGTGCAGCTACCCAACATCTAACTGGTCATATGCTCATGTCAAGATGCATGTCTAGAATATCTTATGAAAATTAAGCCAGTCATCTTAACTCCTTTGACCCCATGGTTGGCACAAGATGATGAAAAATTTTAATGAGCCGGATCTAAAAAATTAGGAGAAGTGGGGTTATAAAATTTTAATAAAGAGACTGTGATATAAAAGCATAAGAAAAATTAACTAAAAGCTTTTAACTACTTTTTTAATTTTTAAATTGAGCTTATTAAAATGTTTTCTTTCCTCCCTTCTCTTCATTATCCCCATACCAAATGGACTCTAAATGTACGTTATTTTTTCAATACATATATGTGTAAAGGTATAAAAATACTCTCACATCTTTCTCAAAAAGTGTTGCTGGCATCATAATCAAACCTCATGTGCAACAATGCCAACATCATATTAACCCTCCATGTTATATTCTCTCTCTTCTTTATAATTACATCCCCTCTAATTATTTTTAATCCTTTTCTTTTAAATTTTTCTTCCCCTCCTTCAGATCTTCACCTTCTCCTATGAGTTTTCCATCATCTTCATCAAACCTGCCTCCGTTACCACCACCACCCTCTCCATCACATTCATCGATCGTTGGGAGTGCTTGCACATCAGCAGCCATCATCGTCGCCTTCAACTATTCAGTCAGTAAAAATTTACTATTTTTTTTAGAGTTTTTCCTCTTAATTTTTAATTTTTATTTTTTTCCCAATCCAAACTAAAAGGATAGAGGCTTACTAAAATTCTCTTCCTCTTTCTCTCCAATCATCTAGACCTAGGCTATTGTACACACACAATGGAGACCCAATCTCACGCACAATGTAATAGACACAATCATAATCACCATGTACAACTTAATCAAAAGCCTCAAGTTTGAAACTCGGGAAAATAGCATTGTAAGGTGGTAGGGACGCTCCCTGAAAAAATGGTCCTTTCAAGGCTCGAATCTGGATTAGTCTAGTCATGTCGGATTCCTCATTGCAAGGGGCTAGCCTAGAATAACGGGCGCATATGCACACACACAGAATCTCATTCATCACCATGCACGTACGGATAAACGAATCAAGGAACCAAATCCATGAGCTTCTTCCCAGCAGGTCTGCTAGAAATAAATTCCCACCATGCATTCACGTTCTTCCTCTAAATGTATCATACATATCGGCCTCCTCTATCAGATGGCTGAGATCCGCCAGGGTGAAGGTGTCGCCGCCGCTTCTTGTACCCGTCCATCACCTTCTATGAGATGGTCTGGCTGATAATTCCGGCCATATCTCTTCATTCCATTAATTAATTCTCAAATCAAATGTTTTTTCTTGCCAATGCAGAATCAAAGAGAAACCATACTAGGTCCCCTTGCACGTGGTGACATCACAACGTGCAACTTATAAAAGTAGTCACTGTTTGTCTAATGAAAATAATAATCGTCACTGCCCTTTTTAATCTCTGAAGTCACCGTTTTCGTTGCTATCTACACAGCGTCACCACTATATCCTCCTTTCTCTATCCTCTTTATTCTCCAAATCCGTTGACCTCTCTTTTCTTCTTCCTCTCCTTCTCTATCAACTAAACATGCTCCAACATTTTAATCACCTTCCCTTATTTATCTTCATATTCTGGTTATGCTGCACTCTTCACGGCGTCGTTTCAGACCCACAAACTCAGCTTCTTAGTGCCCGGTGCAACCCACCTGACTTCTTCCTCGTTTCCGACTCCTCTATCCTCACCGGAAACCTAAACGAAACATTTCGGGATATCAGAGGCCAAATCAGGGACCAGAAGAAGCACTTCGCCACAGCGCAGCATGGCAATGGGGAAAATTTCCCGGTTTATACACTTTTTCAATGCAGAAACTATCTTTCCATCGCTGACTGTGTCGCCTGCTTTGAGATCTCTGCCGCACAGATCCGCAAATGCGCTGCCGCCGCGTCACCCTCTCCAGGTGCCTATGTCGTCTACGACGGCTGCTTCATTAGGTGCAACCCGTTTATCACCTTTCAACTTGGAACTTTTTTTTTGTTTTTGGTTCTTTAATTTTCCCCGGAAAGTTGACGTCTTTTGGATTGAATAGGGGAGCGAAAGTCGAAATAACATATTTACTTTAACTTTATTATATTAGGTTGAGTTGTTTGCGGAGTCTGGCAATACATCGCAAACAAGTTTCTCTTCTTAACGTTTGGATCGATTGTGGAACGATTAAAAGTCCAACTGACATATAAATGAAACTTATAAAACAAGTAAATTCTTTATTTGGAATCTATTTGTCTCTATCGATAATTCGAAGATGAGAGATAGAGGGGAGAAAAAAACCGTAGGTAATCCTTGGTTTGACATCAATTTGGCTAGCTCTGATTTTCACAATATGTTTTTGAATTAAGGATAAACCCAATGGAAATCAGTTTCACTGCTTATTGTGAAAACCCTTTTCGGCTCGACAGGTGAGACCAGTAAACCAATAAACCAACTTTTTATCATATCAAATTAAGAGTTTTGGACCGATTAACCTGGTTGGATTTTACTTTTTTCTCTTATTATTGAGCTTAAAATGATGTTATTTTGAGTTTAAAAAGAATAACAATTCATTATATTCAACTTTATTAATCTTTTGTTGTTGAAATATGTGTAACGTATATATGAATATTCTATTTTCTTGTGAATTATTTCTTTTTATTTAAATATGAATATTCTATTTTTTTTAAATATTTTAATTAAATCATATCATTCTAAATAACTAGTCTGATTACCTCAGTTTAAGCTACTGATCCTTGAACTATTGTCTGAATTGGTTCATTATTGACCACTCCAGTGTTCAGTATAATTATGCTATAATGAGTTACCAAAAATAAAATTGACATTTTTCTATATTAACTGTTTAAAATATATCAAAATCTCCAAGAAAAACTTTTGAAATCAGATAAATCCCAGACGTTAACAAAAAGATATCAAGAAAGTCAAGTGAGAAAAGTCAACTCTGACTAGTATATATAAATAGATTAACTTACTGTAAATAGGCTTGAGTGGATCTTACTCATCCTCTCGTTAGCTTCATTTGTACACGATGGAATTATGAACGTGAAAAATAATGACGTGGGATCTGATATGGTGCGTTAAGGTACAACTATAACACTTTCTTTAACGAGGCAACGCAAACTTTCAATGGCGTATCATGTGGGAATGAGACTACAGGAGGAGCTTCTGCATTTTCTGAAGCAAGGCAACAAGTACTAACCAATCTCCAAATATCAACACCAACAATCCCAAGTTTCTTTGCGGCCACAAAGATTCAAGTTTCAAATAGCGGTTCAACTATCTATGCCTTTGCCCAGTGTGTTAATACTATCACAGCGAATGGGTGTCTGAATTGCTTGAAGGCTGGGTACAGTAATTTGCAGATTTGTCTTCCATTTACCGATGGTAGGGCTTTTGATGCAGGCTGTTTCTTGAGATATTCCAGTACGTTCCTTTTTCCTAATGACCAAACAATTGGTATCACACACTTTGTCAAACAAGGTACACTTCATTCTAATACTTGAATATAGCCCCGCTTTTTTTTTTTTTTTTGGAAAAATAACTGAAAAATACTTATCGAACTTCAAAAAGACAAATAGATCATACTAGCTACTCTTGTAATGGCTTTGACAAGGCATCAAGATTATCTATTTGTCATTTTGAAATTCAATAGGTTTTTTTATGTCATTCTCCTTTTTTCCCCTTTGATGCATTTTCCTAGATGATGCCATAGATAACTGCAGCGTCACATTTTAGCCTCCTGGTCTGTAATTTAAATCACATTTATCCATGTCTTCTATAATACTTCCTTCATCCTTAATATAAGGAGCTAGTTGTCTAATTTAAAAAAATTAAAAGAACTAAACTTATTTTTAAAGTATTTATATTTATCTTTTTTCTCCAAACTAATTTGCCTAACTCACAAACTGATATATTACCTCTGATCCTTAATATAAGAGCTAGTTGAGTAATTTGAATAGATTAAGAAAGTTTATTAATTTAGTTATTTGAAATAAATAGGTGTTACCTTCCCTAAAATACCATTACGAATAATAATTATGAGCTAGAACTACCATTTGATGGAACTTTTAACATTTACAACTACTGCTATAACTACTTTAAAAAATTAGATAAATATGAGAGAAGTGGATTAAGATCTTGTATTTAGGATCAAATTGAAAGTCAAACTCGCTTTTATATTAAGAACCGGAGGTAGTACAATCTGATGATACACATAATGAGTATTTTAGAAATACCATGCTGTAATTAAGTAATTTTTTAACCTTTTTAATCTCTTCAAATTAGTCAATTGAGTCTTATATTAAGGACCGGAAGTAGTATCTGGGATCATAAATCACATTTAACTATGCATAAAGTTGACTACAATTTTGAAGCTGACCGCGGCTGCGATTCCAGCTGAGTGACTGATTCAAAGATCACTTGTTTGTTTTTCTGTCTTGCAGGTTCTTCAAGCAAGAAAGGGGCAACTGTTGGTGGAGTTGTTGGAGGTGTATCTCTTACTTTGATCCTCCTTGCATTATTTGCCTGGATTAAACGACAGAAAAGAGATAAGAATGTTCCTCGAGGAAACCATTTGAAAAGTATGCAATATATCAGTTCATAATAATTGATTACGATGCTTTGGTTTTCACATATATATGATAGAATGAATCCTCGACTGGTTTTTTGTCATTGAATTGCGTTTCACGTGTAATAGGCGACTTAACTGGATTAAGCAAGTTGAAAGGTCCAGTTACATACAGTTATAACGATTTGGTGCTTGCAACAAAAAATTTTAGTGAAGAAAATAAACTAGGAGAAGGAGGATTTGGGGCTGTATACAAGGTAACTTTGATTAGATTTTCAATATTTTAATCTAGATCATGTTCTAAAGTAAGATGTCTATAAATGAATTTTATATACTGTTGTGAATGTCATATCTGCAAAAGAACAAAACTAAAACTTCTAATAATATCATGATTTTCTTTTATTATCATGCATAGGGCACTTTGAAGAATGGGAAAGTTGTTGCAGTCAAGAAATTGACTTCATCTCGCTCCAAGAGGGTGGAGGAAGAATTTGAAAGTGAGGTGATGCTTATAAACAATGTTCACCATCGGAATCTTGTTCGACTGCTGGGTTGTTGTAGTAAAGGCTACAACAAAATCCTTGTCTATGAATACATGAAAAATAGCAGCCTCGACAGATTCATATTTGGTATCTTCTTCTATCAACCGGCAAGGACTTTTTAAAGAATTCTACAAGCATTAGCTACATTATGCTTCTTAATAAAGTTATGACATGTGCACATATAATTTTCAACTTAATAATATATCACTGACTTTTCATCCAAAAGTTTAATCATGTGTCATAATTTTATTACAGAGTTTAATAAGCAGATACCAATTCCCTATTGTAACATTTTGGAAATAATTATTATGTTTCAACCTTGTTTGTTCCCTTATCTTTGAAAGTTTGTAAACTTGAAAAACAGGTAAAAAGAAGGGTTCTCTTAGTTGGAAGCAACGATATGACATAATTTTAGGAATAGCAAGAGGTTTGACTTATCTACATGAGGAATTTCATGTGCGTATCATACACAGAGATATCAAGACTAATAACATCCTCTTGGATGATGATCTGCAACCTAAGATTGCTGATTTTGGGTTAGCAAGGTTGCTACCTGAGAACAAATCTCATGTAAGCACAAGACTCGCAGGAACATTGTAAGTCAAGATAACCATATGTGTATATGTTTCTTTGCTCCCATTGAATTTCCCTCAGTATTGATAATATATGTCAGTCAACAGAACGCTCCTGTTACACCTTTTAGCTTGAATACATGTCGCAATAATTTACATTGCATATGTCTATTTCATATTTTGCTGGATCATATCTGTGTCACTTGAGCTCTTATCTAATTAGTGCACATTGTACACTTTATATAGAGGATATACAGCGCCGGAATATGCAATTTATGGCCAGTTATCTGAGAAAGCTGATATCTATAGTTATGGTGTTGTAGTTCTGGAGATCATTAGTGGTCAAAAGTGTAGAAAATTAAATGTTGATGATGATGAAGGGGCATCCCTTCTTCAAAAGGTGAGTTTACCTTGACTGTTTGAAAAACAGTTTTTTGTGATAATTTATATATGTCGGATCTATTTTAATGACATAGCTTTTTTTTATTAATAGCAATAGAATTACATGACTGAAAAAGACACTTTTCAAAATGAAATTTATGTGAAGTTAAACAATTCAAGATGTGATTTTTCCATAACAACAGGAAAAGGCCTAACTTTTTTGTTGTATTTTCTGCACTTTTTGTTTCACTTCACTTTTGTTCACCTTGACATATAGGCTTGGAATTTATATGAGAAAGGAAGGCATTTAGAGTTGATGGACAAGACCTTAGAACCTAATGTATATGATGCAGAAGAAGTGAAGAAAATCATAGAGATTGGTTTGCTTTGCACCCAAGCATCCGTTGATACAAGGCCAATGATGTCTGCAGTAGTTGCTTTGCTTCAAAAGAAGGATTTGTCAGAGAACCTTAGGCCCACTATGCCTATCTTGATAGAAATTAATTAGAGATCTGGGGGATACTTCTTTAGTGTTCTTGCTCTGGATCCTGTATTCCGATGTTCCTGCTTTCACCTCTACAGATATTAATTATCTGAAAGATAATTTGTGCGTAAGTATACATCACTCTTGGAAATTATTATTTGCCAACTGATTATTACAGTGTACAATTTGGTAAATAACATTAATCTCTCTTAAAGTTTGGTTAAATTACATGTAATATTCTTCTGTTTTGAGGGAGGAAGAACTTTTTGGAATGATTATGATATTTTTCTCTTTTCCAACAAAGAATGGAGGGTGCCGTGTCGGATTAAAGTAAAATGAGTTGTCGTATTTTCATTGGTCATCGTTCAGATAATGTGGTACACTTGAGGTATCTATGTAAGTCTGACCCAAAAAAAAGTATAGATGTGTGTGTGTGTAAGTATTTCTTATTGACATTTTTATATTAGCTTACATCATCAAATGTCATCGAATAACAATTAAATAACTAAACATTTTTGCATATGACTTATGAGACGGGGTGATGATTTTTGCGAAATGTATTCCCATTTTAAATATGAGAATTTTTTTTGTTTGAAAAAAGCCTATATTCTAATTTATATCCAGTCTTATTTATAAATCATTCATAGCATTTTAAAAAGTTAGCGAAAAAATCTTCAAACTTATTAGGTTTTTCCTAAAAACCCTTAAAAATATGGCGATCCAGTCTTCATCGGTATTTTTAATGGCAATACCATTATACCAAGTGAGATTTGTTGTACTGACAAGGCATATTGCTCAATTGTTTTTTTTTCTTTTTTAAAGTAAAAGTGAGACGGCATAAAATAGTTAGATTTAATAGCAATTTAACCTGGCAGGAATGAGGGAGGTGATTCGTAATACAATCAAAATTCAGAGAGATCTTTTATTTTACATACTCGTTCGGATCCACAATCATTGGCACATTAAAACACAAGAATCCTCCCTCAGTCAAATCTTTCCACTGATATTCCTCTGTTTTTTTTTTTTTTTGGAAAGAGAATGGATTGAACAAAGTTATAGGCTCAAATCTAAATGAATATTTCTTGTCATAACACATCCGTATATTGTCCTTCTGGGTTTAAAATTTTGATTATTTCGTTAATAGTAATTTTCTTTGCCAACCTTTAATAGTAATTTAAATTTTTAAAATGAATGAAAATTTAACTTTCATGCCATTAACAAGAGTGCAAACAAAAGATATTTGGCCGACGAAGGGGGAAAAAAAGAAAAAGTGAGCAGCATCATAATTTACATGGGAAACGGTGTGCTTTGAGAAAAGATATTTGGTCTGCTACATTTGAAATTGAAATTCAAAGCGAAGAACAAAAGCACATGTTGAAGGGTCAAAAGTCAGCTCAAAATAAATTAATTGAAATTAAATATTAGATCTGTAAGTCCCGAAATTAAATATCCATAAAGCCCATCACTACCATTTTGATAAGTATTTTTTCCATATAACTATTTAATTAAGTCAGATTAACATATTTGTGTATCGCAAAACCCAATTGAGGGCAGCTCTCTAGCAAAACAAAACAAAAAGATGATAAAAATAGAATCTAAAGGCGGTGAAATTAATTAGAGGTGGCTGCTACCCTACATCTTTTTATTTTTTGAAGCAATTTAAAATTCCCTTTTCCTGTAAGAGAGGGGACGGATATCAAAGCAGGGATTCTCGGCCAGTGCTACCCTACATGGCTACATGCCTACATCTAATTGGGGTAGAAGTAAGACGCAAATCTCTTTCGAAAATTAAACCTTAATTTTTTTTCCACATGGTTTGAGCGAGTTTTAAACTTGGTTAGTTACTGCACTTTTGTCTCTTAATAATTGCACAGTTAAGTCCGTTGCTCTTTCAGTTTCAAACATATATATATATATATATATATATATAGAGGATGTTTTGAAAAGAACCAAATTTTAGTATATAATTGTATTTGTTGGCAAAAAAAAGGTGACATTTTATATATTTCTACGAAACGAAGTTACAAGGTTATTAAATTTTAAAACAAGATTAATGTTATAAATAAAGAAGAAATTTAGAGAAGAATTATACAGAGGAAGAGAGGATCAACAAGAGTGAGTATTTCTCATTCCATTCAAGAGTGCTCAATATATTATACATGGCCTCTATTTATAGGCACAGCTTTACACCTTTGATAAAATCTACAAATTACATAATAATATGAGATAATTGTGGGATATAGAGATAATGAGAGATATTAGAGATTATAAAAGATATAGGAGATAACGGGAGATATATGGACATCCACAAAGATATTATTATATTCATAACACTCCCCTTTGGATGTCCAATATATATAAATGTGCCTCGTTAAAAAACTTCAACTAGGAAAAACCCTGTGGGATAAAAACCTAGTGAAAGAAAAAGAGGACATCATTCATTGATACACTATGCAATGCTGCCTCATTAAAAAACCTTGCTAAGAAAACCAAGTGGGACAAAACCATAAACAAGGAAAAAAGAGTACAGTGTATATCAACTCTCCCTTTTGGCAATATCAGTTGATATCTTTGAGCCTGCAAAGTCTAATATAACGAACAACCCTTCCAAATATTGTAATGATATAAAACGTCAAATATGAATTTCATAATCTTCTGAAAATCATAAGACAAATAGTCCTTTTATGGTTTACCTACACGTAGATCATACTATGATCTTTTGATATAAAGATCAAACAAGAATATTTTATCTATATAGCCATTAAAATTATTCTTGGGTACCTTCAGATAAAATAATATTATCTCCACGGTATCTTTAAAGTAGCAAAGAATATTTTTAACTTCATTCCAACATCTTCATGTTGATAAAGAACTATATCATGCTAATCAGCAAATGATAGCTCAGATTTTGTATGGCTAGATAGATATATAAATGCTTCAGTGACACTAAGATATGGTACTTCTGGACCAAGTGTTTATTCATTACTTTCTGGCGGTCTAAATCGATCTTTAGTCCACATCTAAAGATCTTGCAACTATCGAAACATATAATGGATGTTACTTATCCACATAATGGATGTGACTTATCCATATGTATTCTTCTGAAAGCTTTCATTTCAAATTTTTTCTTTAAGTAATCGTAGCTTTTGAAAACTCATCAGGAATTTCGATGCTATCATCATAAATAGTATTGATAACAAACTCCTTTTGAATCTTTTCACAAGTTGGAATATGTTTACATCATTTCTTCAGTCGATATTAACCACATATGCCTCATATAGATACTTAATTGAATAATATTCTTAAGAATATAATTGTATGCCTCTAGAAACTCAAACCCTTTAAGGATTTTCATACATTATGATCCAGGTCTGTTCATGTATTGGATCATTTGAATTTATACAAGGATTTGAATCCTTCTAGGGTTCACATATAATGTTACTCTATAGTGAGTCACTATATTTTCTAGACGCATATGAAATATTTTCATATATTATCAAACTACTAGATTGATAAGATATATAAAAATTTTAACCCACCACAAGATTGCATTTTTCTTTTCTTATACAAACGCCCATTACACTTCAAGTGCTTGGGCTAGAGATACACAAATCCCTTGTTACACTGTTGCGTCTTTTCTTTTTTTATTGGTCAACCATTTTTCTGTCTGTATCTCATGACAGATTTATATATAAAATCCTCATTTGATCATGTGATATCATCAATAAAATTATTGTCGACGATTTATTCCTTTATCAGTCCCTTTTTTCTTTTATGACATAACATATGGAGATCTTTTTATCGCTTTCAAATACTTAAACCTCTTCAGGGGTCAAATAGTTATGCCTTAACCTCTTTTGTAGTTCATGCCTCCTTAATATGATCATGATCATTTACTCCTTTTTCTTTTCTTTTAGGACTGATCATACTCTCATGTTTTTAACATGTCTTCAAAAATAAGAGCACTTTTAGCTGGAATATAAGAATTAAGAATTCTTATTTGGATCAGTAATTGCATCTGGCAGATATTAATAATATTTTATGAATGCAATACTTTATGAACTTCTAGTTCATAGTATTATATTTGAGGATCTACATTTGATAGTGAAAATGTATTCTTGTGTTTTCTTTTCCAGCTACACATTTCCCCCCCTCATATTGGGAACATGGAATGTAGGTCTCTCTAATCCATAAATCTCTTTTAGAAACATTATTTTGTTTCATTTAGAGACAAACAAGAATAAAGAGATTCTTACCAATAGTGATCCCAACTTACTTTTAATATCTGTTGACAAACTCAATTATTTTTATATATTTTGGTATCTTTTATATGAGTTTTGTCAGCTTAATTGGTCCCTTTTTGCCTTAATTGATTTATTTTGTTTTATTTTGAATTATTATTTTATAGGGGCAAAATTGTCATATTTTGATTTAATTGTGATTAATTGATTTTTGAGGACAATTAATGCTACCTTATCCTTGAATTTTGCTTGCAGGTTCTTGGAAAATTCAAAAATATAAAAAAAAAAAAAAAAGAAAAGAAAGAAAAAAAAAAAAAGAAAGAAAAAAAAAAAAGAAAAAAAAATAATTAGGTGGGGCAAAACGTTGCGTTTTGCCCCAACCTAATATCCATCTTCTTCAATTAGGCGGGGGAGGACCCGGAAGACACGAGAGGGAGACGCAAGCGAACTGAAGGCGGCCGATGCGAAACGCGCACACACAAAACAGGGGAGGCCGAAGGGAAACGCACACACACGACGCTGAAGCGAGCTGGACGGCGCGGGAACAAAACAACAACGGAAGAAGCTTTGGACGCGGAACGAGCTGAACACGGGAGACGCAAAGGGAGCTGGAAGAGACAGAGCTGAGCGGCGGCAGAGAGGGAATAAAAAGAAAGCACGAAACAGAACAGGAGAGGCGCGAGATAGCGAAATCAGGCCTGCGTCTCTTTGATTCCTCCAACAGTTTCATCCTTGTTCTTCATGGCTGGATTCGGTGGATTGCTGGTGGCAGCGAATTTGATGGCAAACCGTGGCTAATCCCATAATTCTCTAATTCAACAATAATGGCAGGAGCTTGGATCATCAAAGGGGAGTTTTAGTTGCTTTAATTTCCTACTCAATAATTGTTT